TTTTTTTTTTTTTTTTTTTTTTTTTTTTTTTTTTTTTTTTTTTTTTTTTTTTTTTTTTTTTTTTTTTTTTTTTTTTTTTGCCTCAGTGGCTTGCTTTGCAGTGCAGACGAGTCGCAGTGGGAGTAAGATTGTGTGAAAAATATTAACCCTTGGAAATGTGCACTATCTGAAGTTTGATCCGGGTCTGGCAGCTAGATGCAGTCCCTTCTTGTACACCTGTTTCTTCTAGATTTTCAGGTGGTGAGTGGGTAGGGACACCACAGATTAGAACTGCACCTGACCCAGAACGCTTCCACAGAAGTGGATGCCAAAACTCAGGGCTAAGGACTTCTGGTCTTGCAGAAACAAAATCATCTGAGGTGACAAGAACGCGATGCTGACTGTATGTCTACACACTGTGGCTGATGCCAGGGCGGTACCACCCTGGGGGTGGCCTCCCTGACGGAGCGTCTCCCTAAAGTGGGGCCAGACTGCAAGGAGGACCAGAACCAAGGCAGGTCTTTGCCAGTTAGAGGAAGCTGCCTCGCAGGCTCTGTGCACAACGCGCCTGCCTGCTGTGAGGCTGTGTGCTCATCTGCGTGTCACACAGACAGGGACTGAGACACTGCCACACCAGGGGGGGTTCGGAACAGACACGACAGAGAACAGCCTAAGGCAGAGGGAGAGGAAAAGATTTTGTTTGAATAGGGACCAATTCATTTTCTCAAAATGTGACTTATCCTCCTGTCTCTTATTTTGTCACATTTTGGAGGGTCTCCTCCTTGGTCTTCAAGGAGGAGAAGGCATTTACTTACATCAAATAACCTTTCTATATACATCTCCTCATTGACCTTATCACGCAGGACATCCTGAGAGTGGCGGACGAAAGTCACGTAGGCATCAGCCACATCCATTCCGGGTTTCTGCAAAGAAACAGGAAAACATGAAAATGGAATTTTCAGAGTCTTCACGATCACCCGTTCAGCTTACGCCCCTCCGACCCAACTCCTCCACGACCAGCACCGCTCTAGTGGGATCACCTCTGGCCACAGCATCGCTGACAGCCGGGCCTGGTAGGAGTTCTATTCGAACATCCTGCTCGCTGCAGAAATCAAGCCTGGCTAAGAAACGGGTTACAATTGTGGGGTTTTATAGATTTCTTTACTGTGAACTTGTGTCTGGTAAATATTTCCAGTGGATAAATCTTCATCGGATAACCCCGAGATATCCTCTGGCTTTGCTGTAAAGTGAAACCCCCACTAAAGAACACACACTGGCTTCCTCCACGGTCCGTCCTCCTCCTTTATAAAATATTGAGCAAGTGCTGAAGACATATTTCAGTCTACACTCTGCCTACCCAAATCCTGTTTAACTTGAGTGTATATAGCGAATAGTTGCTAATCAGTTTACTGAGAGGAGACATTCAACTATTTGTCTGCTTTTCAGTGCAGCCTTAAAGTCTTAGGATAGGGAGGGAGAAGGCAAGGGAAGAGAGGAGGATTTGGTTTTTAAAGAAATGAGATTTTCTGGAAAGGTAAGCAGGTGGTTCACCCAGGAGTTCAGAAACGCTTTACTGTAAAGAAGTTAGAAAGAAAGAAACTCAGAACGCACACTGCTTGAGATGTCGAAATCAAAGTTATCTCCCAAGAAACCTATTAAAACCCTGTAATGTAGGTCATTAGGAGGGCTGCCACAAACTCCTTAAATTTCCACAGTAGATATGTATGTTTGCTAATAACTAAAAAGATTAGTTTTCATTACTGTGATTTACCTTAGATCACAAAGTATCATTTTTCTACCAGACGTAACTGTCAGGCACTGCAAATTGAAGTTAGTTAACACTTCTGTGTAATTTCCAGGGTGAAAATGAGGAAGGTTTGGAAACAGTAGGACTGTATTTTTTTTTCCTGATACAAAGCAAACAATTATCAAGCAAAGGGCCAATGCTTGGCCCCTGGGATGCTAGTAACATTTCTTAACACCTGCTGAAACAATGACAAGGTATTAATTTGAAAAACAATGAGGACAACCCCAAGCCACAGTAGTCAAGTGTTACACTTTCAAGCAATTTTCAGCAAATGGATTGAATGGGTTCCATGATGGTCCTATAATTGTTGCAGTTTTATGATACGAAACAATAGCAGTTCTCCAATGAGATGTGTGAGTCAGCTATCAGTTCTCAGCTGGCACCTCTCTCCTCTGGTTCTGGCAGCTGTGCATCCAAGGACACGCTCAGTAGGGACGGGAGCTTCTTACTGTTGCCTGCACTGCTTCCCCGGGGATACCGGGGGCTGCTGCAGCCCTTTCCTGGGTGCCTTCAGCCTGCAGCTGGATCCAAAGCCAGGTTCAATGGGCCCATGAATAACCATGACATCACAGGACAAATAGGATGGCTGTTGTCACATTCCACCTCTTTTCACTAAGGCTTCCTTTCTCAAATGGGTATTTCACTTAGGTTTTTAAAACTCTTGATTTAAAAAAAATTAGTTTGGCGTGTACCACCCTGGTAGTTAAGAGGCTCCATGGTTTCCTCTCTTTTGATTATTTTTTCATAGCATTTGCCAAGAGCTGACATTGTATTATACACTTATTTGTTTGGTTTTTGTCTGTCTTCTCCCACTAGAACATAAGCTCCATGAATGTGAAACCTTTGCCGGTTGTCTACAGTAGACCCTGTTCACAGAATGGAGTCTAGCATGTAGGAAGTACTCAGTAAACATTTGCTGGTGAACAAAACCATGCACAAATGAGTAAATCCCCCTCCCACTTCCTTTTGAAAGCTCTGCAGTCCACTGCATGGATTTTTACTCAATCCTCCATGAATCAGAGCCTGTACAAACCATTCCAACTTCTCTGGACCTCAGGGACGCCATCTGTAAAATGGGATTGGTACCAACTCCCAACTTACCTTCAAAGATAGTTAATGATCCTCTGCTAAAACAATGGTCATGAAAATGCTTTGAAAGTTGTAAATTGCAATACAAACATGAGTTGCTATGATGTTTTCTCCCACAATTTTATATCACATCATTACCTTCAATACTTTTAGAATCTACTTTAGATCCAAGAAGAAAAAAGGGGTCTCGGTACAGCCTATGTCAAGATAAAATGATAAAGTCTGTACAAAAACGTGCACTTTTTCCCAGTTTCCCACTCCCAGCTATCTTTCTTTTACACTAGCTTTACACGGAATTCCGACCAGTTTGGTTTCCATCCCTTGATGGGTCAGGAATGTGAAGTGGGAAGTTGTCAGGCCGCATGCTGAGGAGACAACAGTGTTGTTCTTCCTGGTGCCCCTGGCCTGGGGAGCAGCTGCCAGACTACAACACCAGACAGAGACTTACTGCTGGGTGAGGGATGCTGGGGGCAGCTGCCCGTTTACCTCAGATGCCCTGGGGGCACAGGTACTCTCCAGACCCTGGGGAAAGGTGTACGGGCCACAGTGAGCCACGAGAAGAGACCAAAGGACAGTCAGGAATGCCCTGTTCACAAAAGGCAGGGGTAGAAAGGTAGGAAGGGTGTGCAGTGCATTTTAAGTGGATCTGAATGACAGTTGAAAACTGTTGACAAACAAGCTGAGCTTGTTATACCTGGCTGAACAACCGCACTGCTGCCCACACACAGTAGGCTGGCTTTTAGGTGGCAGCTTTGAAATGTGTATTCGACAGCTTGACAGCACATAACATACATTTTAGGAAATAGTTAAACAAATATAGGCAAGTTTCTGTAGAGTTAATGCTACCTCTTGCAGGAGATAGAATTTGCAAACAAGCCACTCTGTGGCATGGGAAAAATAGGACATGTTAATCTCAGCTTGTTCCTACCAGCATACTTCTGAATTTGAGGAAAACAAACTCGAAATTTCAGTATTCTAAGCAAGTCTTAATTATGGAAGGACCTTCTGAGAAAGGGATCTCCAGGCTGTACCCCAGAACTACTGATCAGAATCTCTGGGGACAAGATTTGGAAATCTCAATAAAAATAAGCAAACAAATCAACAAAAACCCCGCCAAGTTGTACTGCTGTGCACTCTGGTTTGGGGACAGACTCTTGCCGGTTCTGTGAGTGTGGCAAACACTTTCTTCAAAAGCAACAATGAGATAAAAAGCAAGCCCTGATTTATGGGGCTTTCCAATTTCCATGGTGTAAACACTCCCACCAAAACTGATTTCAAGCCCCCAGAGAGCTGTGACAGAGGTGGAAATGGAGTGAGATCAAACTGATTCCCCCGAATCTTCCCTCGCCACTCAGGAGAACTGGGGCAGGCTACTTAACCTCGCCATTCCTCAGTTTCCCTAGCTGTAATAATGATGAAATGATTACCCCCTAATAAGACTATTTTTAGAAGTAAATAATTATTATTTACTATACATAAACAATATACATATAGTACAGATGTGCATCATGTACTGTTATTTTCTACAAAATTATTTACTAAGACATTTATTATAATATTAGCTATAAAAGTATACATTAATCAACTTAAAGTTCAGCATGGTTCTGAGCCATTAATAATTGATGCAATAATGGGTTTAATGTGCTAATTATATATTTTTTGAGTACCAAGTAATTACTCAACTACCAAAGTAGAGACACGTGCCTGCATTAAAACCATCCTGTAGTGTGGGAGAGTGTTGAAAAACACTGCTTTAAATTTTAGCTGTGCCAGTGTCCAGCTGTGCAGTCCTGAGCAACGGAACCTCTGTGTCGCAGGCCCCTCTTCTTTAAAGGCTGGTACTTGGGAAGATTATGTGCAAAGAGCTTAGTGCCTGGCACATAGGGAGTGCTCTACAAGGTTGGGCAGGAGGACTACAGGTCCTACTACGTAGCAGGAGGACTTCAGGTTATGGCACTTGCATGTTGATCTAGAATCCATCTGATCCCATCTTTACAACGAATATCAACGTGGCTGGCAGGATTTACTTGGCTGTCTCAAAGGAAACTGCCGATCCTGGGCTTTGGCAGATTTCTCCAAAGAGTCACTCACATGAAGTTCACCCTAACAGAGCGTGCTGCTAACACTGATGGCCACACTGCATTTCTCCTTGTGTCTGGGCCAGGTCTACAGGTCACCAGTCCACACCCTGCTGCTGAGTTCTGCCCTCTGCTTCATGGCCTATGGAGAACAGACTCCGATACCACATCTTCGTGTTGGGAGCTTAGAATTTCAATCTCTGTCACTGCTGAAGGTCAGTGGAGGGCAGCTGATGTCGACAAATTCATCACGCTTCCACCCTGGGCATTACACCACCACCACCACCACCACCACCACGTGTCCCTCTCTGCCCGAAAGCGTAGCGAGTGCCACATGTGCAGTGCCATTTAATTTGCACAGTGAACCCACTTAACCAGGTATCACTGTCTCCATTTTAAAGATGGAGAAATTGGGCCCGTGAAGTGAAAGTTTAGACTTTGGGGCTCAACTCCTCTCCTTGCTGCGGTTCTGTAAGTCTTTTCTAGTCTCCATTCTTCTGCCTACACAAGGAATCTGAGGTCCCTTGATGAGAAGTATTATATAAATTCAAAGCATAATTATTGATTGTACATTCTTTCATTAAACAAACAAAATATATGCTAATGCTAAATTCACTCCAATTTTCCATTTTGTCTTCCTTTGAGAAAAAAGCCAATAAACCATTACACACTTAGCTTCCTGGGGAAATGAATTTAAATGTTAATATAAATCCTTTTAGAAAAAAACAAATTTTAACAAATAAGTATTTGAACAAGGACTGTACTTAACCACGTTCAGAATGAGAAACGTTCAGTACAAGGCCCTTGGTGGCTGTTGAGATAAGCTCTCTAAATTTAATATTTTATAATAGACTCACACCTCTTTTGTTAGAAATGGAGAAACAGAATCATTTTCTTTCCCCCTTTATTGGAACATATTTAAATCTCTCCCATTTTATTTTGCTAATAGGCAGGGCAAAGTCTGTCTATAAATGTATCATGGTTTATCACAGGTAATCCCACACTTTAGCATTCATGTGCAGTACTTAACCTCAATTTAAATGTAAATTTTGGGCAACTTGGAGTGCTTTATCTGTGAACTTTGAGGGCTCTCTTCATTAATGAGGCCTGCACTAATTATAAGCAGTTTTGTAAGGTTTTCTTAAAACAATTGTAGCACTGGCCCCAAAATGAACAAATTCAGAAATTATTTGTTTTAAAAAAATACTGGTATCCTTGTGCAAATTTTCTAGCTCAGCGCTTTACTCCTGAGGTGTGGTGCGCGCAGGAGGGAGACGGGAGGGCGGAATGAGGGACGAAAGTGAAAGTGAACTGGGTTTACTAAGTGGCCCCTTTCTTCCTGGCCAAAGAAATCTACCTCTTCTCTGGAAAACAAAACAAAACCCTACTATGGGTCAGCCCGCTGTCTCTCTCGCATGATCCAAATTAGGAATGTGCAGTTTGGCTGCAACAAATGAAGACAGCACCGTCGAAACTCCCATGACAGCAAAATAAATAAATACATAAATAAATGACTAACTACTAAAACCAAACCCAGTAACAAACGCACAAAAAGCAGTTTGCAAATACTCACAGGTACATCCACATATTTGGAAGCGGCCTTCACCTAAGGAGAGAAGAAGATGGAAGTGAGGTGGGTGTTTGTGTTCAGTTGCTCACAGCCCCACGCGGTATCACCATCAAACAATGTGCCGGCACACGACGCTGACCAGAGAAAACAAAAAGGTACTAAAAAACAAAATCTGTTTGCTGTTTTTTTCCCCCGAGCCATAGCCAGCACTTTGGGGAAGAGAGGAGGGGAGGGAGTGACTCAGCACAGCTTCCCTGATTCAGAGTCTGTCCCTGGCAGGAGCTTCGCATTTCCCCTCTTCCTTGAGGAAGGAAAGTGACTCCAGTTAGACACAGACTGAGGCCAGAGAAGCTGCGGAGACAGCTGCATGGTCTTGGTGTACTTAGGCCCGGGTTGTCAGGATGGACTTGGTCAGTTCTGTTTCCGCTAAGTCGGGTCTTCCAGAGGGGATGGGTGAGAGGGCGTCCTCAACCCAGGACTGGTGTCTGAGGCTGGGGTCCAGAGCCGTGCAAAAACCTCCCAAGGCTCTCGTCTTGCCTCCTGATTTCAGGTACTAAAAATACCCGTGGGGAAGCCTGGGAAACGGTTATGAAATTCCTTTTCAGTTTTGGGGGAGGGAGTGTGGTACAGTGTACGGTTTGGAGTCAGACATGGGTTTGGATCCAGCTGTACCACTCATTGTCTGACCTCGAGCAGGTTACTTTATCTCTCTGAGCGTCAGTTGCCAGATCTGCAAAATGGAAATACTAATACTGCCTATTTCAGTGGGTTGATGCACACTGCACCCTGGCGCATGGTAAGCACGGAACAAGGCAGCTAAGTACTTAAACAAATCTGGGTGAGCACTGTGGGCAGTGAGAAGTCAACCAACAGCTGGGCTTGAGGAATAAAACCAATGGGAGTAAGTCTGATATTCTATGTTGCTTCGAGGCGCAGGCCACTCTTGTCCCTCTAGGTGCTAATGAGGTTGTATTTTGGGTCAGGGAGCATTTCTTGTTCCACTGAGATGGCCTTACACAAAGCAGCCAGAAGGTCTGCTCAAATGTAGGTTGCCTTCATCTTGCCACCTGGCAGACAGCAGCATCAGTAATCAAAGTCGTCACCAGAGGACTCCCAGAAAAGTGCTCAGGGGAATCATTTTCTCTCTCCTCTCTCCTGAGTGCTGTATTCCAAATCCCACTCTTAATGACAGCAGCCAATGAACCAAGAGAGAAGGGTGGGAAAAGCCCCCACTTGAATAGAAAGTCCTGTCAGTGTCTAAAGTATTGGATCCTGGGGAATTCATGTCAAGTTCTCTGGACTGGTTTCTAGATTTCTAGAGGAGGATGGCAAAACTGCATTTTGTAGGGTCGATGTTCTGGTCAAGTGAGAAGACAGATGAGGAAGTGCCTGGTAAACTTTAAAGGGGGCAATACATGATTAGTCAGTCGCTGGGAGGGCGATGTTTTCTTTCTTCTCTAATTGTCAACATCCAAGGTGCCTGCTGTTCTCCTGGTGGTGGTCTCTGAGAACCCAGTCCAGTGTGGCAGCATGGATTGCACTTGCAATTCACAGCCTATTTGTGTAATGTCTGCCTCCTACAAAAGGTGACACGAGCAAAGGCCATACCCTTCCTTCTCAGAGCTGTCTCCCCACTGACTCATCTGTTCCTGACTTAGAAAGGAAACTCAGGGAAGATTCAGGAGGGAAGGAAAGAAAGGGCTGGGGGCCGGCTCTGGCTTCGGGGTGGCTGAGAAATAAACACAGGAAAGACCAGATTGAGAAGCCACTGTGTTGGCTGATCTGAGAGCCACCATGTTTATGTATAAAGCTGACTTCTGTCAAGGCTGGGGGAGAAGGAAGCCACTTTGGCCCCTGAAAGGGATCGAGGAGGGCTTTCCAGATTCTGCACAATTACCATTTCTACTAAAGGATTCCTACTCCCCAAATATTTCCTGAGCATTCTTTCTCCAAAATTTATTTCAGGCTAAAAGATTGCTCACTTTTTCCCCCTAGTCTCTCCAACATACAGTATCTACCGATTTGATGATGTTTTCACTTTGCCAAAAACTTTCACAAGTTTGTCCTTTAAGCCACCTTGTGACATGGGGACCTACTGACCTTAGCCATTTAAATGGAGGAAATGTAAATCCACAGAACCTAAGGGATTTACTCGCTCAGGTTCTCATTCAGCAGGCAGAGAAGCCAGGACATGCATGTGGTTTTCTGAGCCCAAATCCCCCCTCACAACTCCCAGTCTCCAAAACACTGGTGGAAAAGATCAAGGAATTCAAGCACCTGTGCCTGGCCGTGCGCGGCCAGAGTGGTGCTGGGAAGGTGCAGTTCTCGGCCAGACACGGCCTCCTTTGCTCTGTGCGGGTGATGCTTGGCAGCTGCTATGAGTTTTGCTACAGCTGAAATGATCAACCTTTAAACACGCCCACTCGCCGTTTACCACCAACATGCGGTTCTGATCCAGAGAGTGACACCAGTCAAATTCTGTTTCTCTCCAGGCTGTTGCAGATGAGGCAAGCTCACGCACGTCATGAATGAAAACCATGTTCTCTCCTGCATGCATAAGGGCCCCGGTCACACAGGCTTGTTCTCTTGTCTTATAACTTCTGGCTTGCACTGAGTCTCACTGATCTTCCTCCCCTCCCACCCTAGAGGAAAAATAGCTCTGAGTAAACTGTGGTCCTATTATCACTTAGAAAGGGTGGAGGATCATTTTTCCTCCTGGTCATTGCAACTTTAGGATGTTACTAGTGAGGATGAGGAGGATCCAGAAGCGTATTCTACAAGGAAAGCAAAGGGACGGCATCTGCCTTAGAAAAGGAAGAGTGAATGGCAGGGAAAACAATCTTCACGGAGTCCGAGCAGCGTCAGTGTACGACGGAAGTTGGTCATGGTGATTCCAGAGCACAGACTCAGGACGAATGAGTAAAATGACAGGACCTCGAAGAGGGCACAAAGCCATCTGAGTCTGGCGGCAGAGTCCTGCTCTGTGCCTGAGAAGCCCCAGCTCACATGAGGAAGGGTACTGTGGGTCTGTTTCTTTACTCTGGTGAGAGGCCGCCTCCTGGTCTCCGATTCTGGCCTTCTTGCAAGCAAGTGGTTATCAGTTTGGTGTTTTCTCAGGTAGGCAGGTACAGCCAGTGAAAAACAGGCAGAAGCAGATCTGAGCTCTGATCCCTGGGACCCTTTCCTGCACAAGCCGGCAGTGCTACTACCCTTGAGCATCACTTTCATTTTTAAGTATCCACAGGAATATGTCTGTTTTGCCAGGTGCAATAGAAGAACAATGACCGGATCCTCCCACCCACTTGGGCGCTGGAATTATTATCAGAAAATGAGTACACATCAGGCAGTGCGTGCAGATCAGTAAATGACAGCCCTCTTGACCTACACAAGACTACTGTCCTTGACATACAGACTTTCTTTTGACAAACAAAATGCAAAATTCTTTTTAAAAGCACTATTTTATAGTACTTTTTGTCTATATGTATTTCATGAATGATTGTAAAAAGTGTGTTTATGTGCAGGCGGGTGTAATTTTCTTTTCTTTCTTAGTTTTAACTTAAAAGAAGTCTGACAGAGAAGTGGCTAAGAGGATGGGGTCGGCTTAGTTAGAAGTCTGGCTTCTCCATTTCCCAGCTGGGTGACTTTTTGAGCAAGTTCTTCAACTTCCCTGGACCTCTTCTGTAAGTGGGGTGATAAATAACAGTTCCTCGAAGGGAACCTGGGAGAAGGGAATGAGGTAATCCAAGTGAATGTGTGCAGCAGTGCCAAGCAGCACTAAATGTAGCTATTCTTGCCCTGACTGCTGGAAACACTGGCTTACTCGTGAGACAAAGTGCATACTCCCCACCCTGGTGGCAGCAGTCCGCTGGCTCTGCCTCTCTAGCCCACAGGCAATTTCTTGCTATGAAAAGGATGCTGGACTCTCCCCAGGTTACCAGCAGGTGTCTGAGCTGATTCCAGGTTGGGACGCTCTGTCCCTTCTGGGACACCACGTGCCCTAGAGAACGTGTCCTCAGGATATGCAGGCTGAAGGGAAAGACCTGCTCTGCCGAGTGGGCGTGTGGAGAGGCCCTCCTTGAGCCCAACCCAGCCATCATGGTCATGAACACAAGCTGCCCTCTCTGTGACTGCGCCACACACCAGGGCACGGGGAATGATGCTAAGGGCAAGGGGTTCACCACACAGGCCTGTGCGGCCTCCTTTCTAAGCAGGGACTCAGCTGACCTTAGAGACAAGAGTGGTGACTCCAGCAGAACTCTCTCCCAGGACCCTGGGCTTTCCAATAGTCTCCACCAGGGAGACAGAGCACCCCTTCCCTAGCAGTATTCCCTAAGCCTTGTGCCCTGGCTCCAGCCAGGATGGGGAAGGAGACGGCAAATGGACAGAGGTCGAGAGAGGCCGATGGGGCTGGATGAAGCTGGGAAGAGGGGCCTTCAGTGAGTGCCCTGCTGTATCTTCCACCTGGGGACCACCAGGGCTGCCTGACTCTGGGTGGCTTCTCCACTGCCATCTAAGTGCACAAGCTCTGCAAACATTCACTGAACTCAGTCCATCCAGCGACCCCTCAGTGACCACCACTGAGTGTTTCCTGTCACCCGGCCGAGTCACAAACACTGTGTGTTCCACGTAACCCTCGCCACAGTCTTTTGCAGAGGCCCACCTAACAGCTAAAGAAACCGAGGCTCACACAGACAAAGCAAGTAGCTTGAAATCATGTACGAAATAGGTTACAGCATTGAGCCTCCCATGCCCTAAACTGCCGATTATTTAGTTTTTAAAATATCTATCCAACCACTTTTACTGACCAGTCAGATTTGTGTGTGTGCATGCGTGCGACATAACCTAAAATGGCTTCTTCAGGAAAATGCATGAGGGATTTGAATAATTGTCTGCACTGAGTCAGGGCAGAAGGTCCAAAATGGTCTCTGTGGCCTGAATGTACCAGCTAATTACCTCACCCCTCCACCTGACTTAGCGTGTGTAGACAGGCTTAATGGTTTCTCTATTGAGCTCTTCCATTATTTCTCAGGTGCCCA